TTCTGGGTTTGTTCAAATTTCACAACTTTTTTCTTGAAGAGTGGTAAGAAAAACCTGGCCTGATACTGCATTCTCACCAATGTGAAGTTGCATGGAAAACTACTCCAAGTGCCTTCTCCTCCCTGTTAAAAAAGCCATGTGCAGGCTTTTGGTTTTTTGTAGCAATATGACCCCTGTGAGGAGGGACTGCAGCAAACTTGTTTGACTTGAACTGCAGTGAATGAGTTACAGGGATGGAGTCAGCCACTGTGCCTTAGCAAAGAGACAGTAAGGCAGTAATTTAGTAAGAGGGATTAACACAGTTGCTTATCTGACTCCACCTCTAGAGTTCACTCCCTTCAACATCAGTCTCGTACTTTGTTCCCTGCATGATTAATGTTTCCAGTGATGACTGAAGCAAAACGTTGCTAGATATTCTGGCCTCCTCACCTCAACCTACAGTTTGTTTTCTATCCTTATAAAAGAATGGGATGATTCTGTCTTGTTTTTCCTATTACAGCAAGTGTCCTTATGCTGAATGTTATCCTGTCACATCCAAGTTTGACAGTAGAGAAACACTTGATAAGAATTCTTTACAGATACACCACTTTACATAAATAACTTTAGCTGTGGCTCACAATCAACCACAACATACAAATCCAGGGGGAAACAGGCTGCTTGGAGTCCAGTGCTCAGAGAACTATTTACTGTTCCCCATTTCCCACTCTCCGTGACATATTGCAGAACTGTAACAAAACTGAAGGTCAGAGAAAGCAGGAAAAGGGTTAACATATGAAAGAGTCCTCACACACCTGCAAGCCCTAAGTAGCCTGAGGAGGAAGAGATAAAAGCCTGGGCTCAGGTTTCTAAGAGGGATTTTGTTGGTCTAAGCTTTGCTTTGAGGGAAGGTGCTGTTTACCAGGGTGGGAACGAGATACCATCCAAGAAAACAATTTGCCCTGAACTAAGATGCTGGTTGGTTGGTTTTTTAATAGCTGATAAGAGCCTCAAAACCAAGGACTGAAGACATCTAGGATGTGTCAGTCTGACTGCTAGAGAAACCTGGAGAGTAAAGTAATAAGGTGAGTGGCTTTTCTGCCTCACCCAGGCTGCTGGAGGAAAAGCAATCCAGGAAACCAGGTAACTACCTATTCCTGACCCTGTAGTTGTGCCCACAGGCATACATAAAAAGGAAAAACTGCCTTGTACCTGCTCAGTAAACAGAAATTGCTGCTCTCCTGCTTGTAGGAATAATACTAAATACCTCCACTGAAGCTACTGTATACATTAATCCAGGCTTGTAAGCTTATTCACAGGCTCTAAAATCAGAAGCTGAGACACTTAATCTGTTGATTTGTCCTAATGCTGAGAGGCTTCAAATGAGATTGGCTTCCACTGTTGCTATATTAGCTGTAACTAGGTAATATGTAGCATGTAACTCGGACGCATGCTAAACAAAATCCTCTTTGCCCCTTTTCTGGGTGAATCAAAAAGCGAAACACCCCTAAAGAAACAGTCCTTTTTTAAGTGCAGCACCTCACACCTGTTACTATAACC